CGAAAGCGCCAGCCACCTGCTTCTCATCGAACAACAACATCAGGGAGACTTCTGAATTTCGTCGAAGCGGCGAGTCTGCATATACGGCACGATTACGAGGCTTTGAGAGTAGAACTGAGTCGTGTACACTGTATCGGTAACAACAGAATCATCGAGCCAAGTTGAGAGGTTTGTGGCAGGGTGTCTGACCTGCGCTCATTCACGTAAAACGGTGGCAACTCTGGTTGGTAGAAGGGAATTTCTCTTCGGATACACCGCCACTCTATCATTCATCTACACTATTAGTCTTGTTATGTCATGAACAATTAGCCGTCTCGTTGCAACCGGATCCTCCTTTGCTGCCTTGACGGATTGTTTCACTTTATCCTTGAACTCGGCTGCTCATACAACAGGTCCGGGTATTCCTGCAAGAAACAGGCAAAGATGAAGTCACTTGATGGCACTCAATTGCTTCTGTTGGTCAGGGTTTTCCACGAGACTGGTTATCTATGGCTACACGCCTTCTCCGACCTGTATCTTTCCACAATCTTGCCTTGCAGAATGCTTTGAAGAAGATACTGACCGGACTCTAATTCCACAGAATGAAGGCGAAGAACGAGCAGAGACGGTCCAGACGCCCGACCCTCAATCCTCACGTTTGCCGTGTTCTGCAGACACCCTCCTCGATGATCCTGTCAATCAGCTTCCCGCCGCAATGCTAACAGACCCGGAAGAGTGACTTGAGCCTCTTCATACATGGGCTCGAGTGGGAGACCCTTCCTCACTAGGAAGAGACATTGTGAAAGCAGCTTTTGGGCCAGCTCCTTGATACGGCCATCCAGATGAATAACATCCTCGATTTCAACCTCAGGCAGGACTAACGACCGGGTTTCAAACGACCTCATAGCAAGCTTCATCCTCTGCACGTCATCAGCCCGAAGTTCCTCGCCATTAAAAATCTTCTCTCGAACAGGAGCCAGGTCGTCCCTCATGTCCACCAATGCTGCCGTCGGCATCTGGCTCAGGAGGAGGGAAGAGTATTTGTGGCTGCCAGAAGAGATGGCCGAGGTGGAGAAGCTCTTTCGGGAGTCTCCTGCGTGGGCGACTGAGGCCATGAACTGCCACGAAGGCACCTCATCCTCCTCGAGAAAGATGAGCGTTTCATTATCAGCATGGGAAGCGTAATCGAAGGTGATAGTGGCGCGATATGGGGCATCAAATATCTCGTGGCAGAAAGGACCATAGAGCCACGGTTTCTCGGTGATTCGATCCCGCGCCTTCAACAGCTGCCTCTTGGCGTCTTCGCTGGTGTCCTTGATCAGAAATTGGATCACACTGTCTCTGTCGCTTGCCTCGTCAAACAAATCTGCGAACTTGTACAGCGGTGATCGGAAGACCGCCTCCGGAAGATGCTTTGATAGCAGATGAAGGGCTTCAGAAAGGTCTTGAGCAGCCTGTTTTGCAATTGAAGAACGTTCAACATAGTCGTCATCAACATCCCAATGACCTCCTGCTTCAATGTGGTTCCAAAGTTGTACAAGGTGTTCAATGGTTTGGTCTCGATGAAGAGGGTCAACCTCGGTCCTCAAATACCTCCCGTAATCTCGGCTTAGGGTCGGCTCGTCGTAATAGAGGATCTGATGGGCATTCGCCGGATCATCGAAATAGTCGTCCATCTGCGCAATGTGATCGTCGGAAACCGATTCAAAAATGTATAGCTTGGCCCTCGTCTCACGACATCGTTGTAACTTGCGAGGGCCGTCTTTCAGTTTGGCGGATAACATTGGGAACACATGGCGGATGTAGACTTCATCCAACTGATCGCGCTCGCCTTGAAACAATATCTCATCCACAAAGACCGTGGAGTTGGTGATCGTATTCGGAGGGACAACCATGCCATCTGCAAATAAAATAGATCGGTGCAGGAGGGCTCTCATATAATTTTCTGGAGGGACACCAAACCGATTCATTTTGGAATTGACATTGTCCATCGAAGGGCTGAAGGCCACGCACTTTGCACTCCGGTGCATGGCGCTGGCCTTCGTTGGTCTGGATCCGCTTGACGCTTGACGCTCGTGGAGAATAGAGGCCAGGAGGTCCTCAATCAGATGGCGACTCTCGTAGTTCCCGACGACCCAAGCGATCCCGCTTGATATGCGCAGCGCCCTGGCAGCTTCTTCCATCTTGCCTCCACAGAGCATCGCCAACCCGCTCAGGGCACTCACCACCCATGTCTGAGCGTGATGGCGAGGAGGCACTTGAAGCAAAGCCGCCTCTTCTAGTTCCACATGGTGCAACTGCAGCTCCTTGAGACCTTCGTTCAGCCTTTGACAAAATCCCTGCTTCGCTTCAAGCACGGATGGGCTTCCGTTTCTGAGGATGTGGCTTAACGTCTCCCATACTTCAGAGCAGCTCTTTGCTGGTCGGACCTTATTCTTCTGTCAGTATGATCCCGTGGGCAATACATACAGGATGACTTGCCTGATGTCCTTCTATCTGGAGGTTCATATTTTGCAGAATTCGGTTCCAGTCCTGCCTCGGCGGCGTTCCTCCATTGAGTGTTTGCAAAAATCTCGGGTTAGCTCTTTCTCCACTCCTCTCCTCAAACAGAGTAACCAAGTCGATCAGGAGCAGTTTACTCCAGTGAGGTCCCAGGTCTTCAGCCCATGATTTGATCTTCTGCTCAAAGCGAGGGAACTTGCTTTCGCCAGAATGTCTTTCTCCGAGAAAATACCCACTAAGAAGGCAAAATCCAACAGGCGAATCCTCTGCAAGGTCCATGCTCAGGGTGAGGCCTTCAATTGACGACTCACATGAGCTCTTGGGGAATATGAGCCACACAATTGAAGCTTGCCTCTTGTTTGATAGGAAGCGAAGATAATCGAGGTTGTCATTCATATCACTTCCGCTGAAGCCGGCAACCAGCCATACCGTTCGTTTGAGAAGAATATCGAGCACATCGGTCGCAAAAGAAGGTAGGCCCTGGGCACGCTGCAATCGAGTGTCGATGCAGCTGACTGGATCATAGCACGAACCGTGGATCTTGAAGAGGAAGGTTATTTTGCCACTCCCCAGCTGCGGCATGAGAGATCGTATAAAGGCAAAGGCTTTTGCCCCGTTCACAATCAGAACCAGTTTTTTGTCCAAGGTTGTCAGTGGTAACCGGTCTGAAATCTCCCTACCGTCCACGTGAGGATCTCCAGTGACCTGGTAGAAGAGCGATGTCTTGCTTTCGATAGCCTTCTCCAGGTAGTTGTCAAAGTTCGTGGTCATGACGGCCGCAACTTGGCCAGTGGAAAGAAGTTCAGCAGCCCACTTATGTATCTTGTTATATGCAAACATTCCATTGTCTTGCTTCTCAGCCTGAAAAGCATCCAACACTTGCAAATACTGCTGACCAAGGCGTCTCGAGATAACTTCGGTAACCATATAGTTGGGTACGGTTCTTTTGAGTCGGTCGAAATAGCCCAAGATCCCCTCGGACACTTGTAAAGATAACATCAGCTGGCCATTCCCGGCTAGTCATGCTCAATACACACCTGTATCAGGCTGAATGTCTGTCACAGCGATCTTCATCGCTGACGTCCATAACAGTTCCACAAAGTCATTCCACATGGGTAATTGCGCTGGCTTGAACGTGGAAATAGCAGCACCCAGGAATAATGTGACTCGTCCTTTCGCCTTCTCAGTGAAGGAGTCGATGCGCGGAGCCGCTTCCACCAAATTGTGACTTTTGAAATCCCCTTGAGCCTCATGCGGGAACTCCATCAATCCGCTCGTCGCTGCTCGCTCCAGCAGCGTATGGTTTGCCATCATGGCTGCTTTGATGAGCTGAGTTCAATATTTGGCGGTGAGGCCTCTGGTTGATAGTCGTTGGTAGATCAAGGACAGCGTGATTAAGAGCGAGTGCTTTTCAACCCCTTCACCTATACCATCAATTGTGTTCTGACCGCGCGGCCACCCTATTATAATCGAGGACTGTCAGCTCCCTCGCGTGTGGGCAGTATTCTGTGTCAGAGTGCGCCACCTATTGGATCTTCGACTCGTGTTGCTGGCCGCAGGTGAGGCTCTACAGCATATGCAACACGCTAGCAAGAGCCCCTTTGATAGGCATCAGGCCAGGGTTTGGTCTCCTGGAAACCTTGGCGAGGTTGTTAAACAGTTGCCTAGACTCTGCAGCCTCAGGTGATGCAGTGTGACACCAGTCTCAATAAGGGGGGGCCACAGGTTTGGCTGAGTCGACCCAAGACAAAGAGATGCATGTATTTGCGACCCAGCCGGACGGAACAAATAGCTCTCGAGAGAAGGCTCTAGCCAACCATGATTTAAAAAGATAGCGAGGCAAATGCCATGGCTATCGGGCTTGTCATTGTTCGCCTACCTGGGTCTGGACCTGCGCAACCGAGCTTCAGCGTATCGACAACGAATCGAATGGATCACACCGGGGCGTGGGCATGTGCGTGGTGTCCCAAGAAGCCATGTAAGGGGACAATCACAGGGTGCCGCTGCATGTTTCTAACCCCGAAGAGAGGATTCCGGGTCGGGATAGATGAGGCTCTGAGGTGAAAGACGGAGAGGAGGAGCTCATTTGATTTTGTCATGTAAGGGAGTTGGGAGAGTGAAATTCGCAGGCACATGATGTGTTTGCAGTGAGAAAATACTGGCACTGACGATGGCCACGCCGAGGCCAAGACTACCGATCTATTTCTACCTACAAGCGTCGACTAGGGGGCTGTACTGTAGTAGCTTAGGTGGAGCACTTAAGCCCGAAACCCACCCACTTGGTCTCGAGACTTCCCTACCACACAAGTGTCTAGGCACCTCAATCACCCCTAGGGTGCCACGAGCTCCCCCAGGTTCTCAGTAAAGATGTCAACGCCAATGAAGAGCTTGTCCTACTCAACTACCTTTCTGCCTACCCCCTCGTGGTAATGGGAAATTTTCCTCCGCCTTACTACTCTCAATCGACATCCTGGTCTGTCCTATCAATCCCATCTCCTCGTATATCCCTGCTATTCCCCATGCCACCATCCCTTCGGAAAGCATGCCACTCCTGCACAATCGCAAAGCGCCGTTGCGTGCCTCAACTCCCACAATGCACCAGATGTGCCGAGAAAGGACTGCGCTGCACCTACGACTTGGAACCTGTGACGAATCTTGAGACAGGTAGCTCTTGTCCACCGCAAACGATCGCGCAAAGCCCTTGGGAGCCACTATCTCCGATCATCTTCGATTCCGTCGCTTCGGCCCACGAAGCCGCCGTGCATTCCTTCACCTCCGACAGACAAGAGATGCTCCCTGTGATGGCAAACCAGGAGACGCTCATGATGGTTGTCGAGCGTTACCTGAGATTTATCCCCTTGCTCACGTTTCAGCAAAGGACCACTCCCTACATCCACAGCCAGCTGCTGTTGGCCAGTAAGCGGACTTCTGCAAGCGTGGTTCTCCTAGATATCGATGGCTCTGAGGCCACACCAGGTACCAATGCTGCCTTTTTGAAAAGAATGCAACAGCATCTACTTTCTCTCAAAGTCGAACAGCTGACATTCACTGAGTTCCTGCCCGCATTTCACACGCTGGCTGCTGTCCTGCTCTCCTTCGTTCTGAACTTAGACCGACTACCGCCTATCCTACTTGATCTCTGGGCAACATGGACAAACCATTTCCACACGACACTTCCGCGAACGCTCAGTAGCGACTTGTCGGCATGGCAAGCCTGGTGTACTGCTGAGAGCGCGCGCAGAACCTTTCTATATATCCTTCTTCTTGAGGGAATAGTGGAAACAAGCCAGAAGGGATACTGCCACTACCGCCCTATGGTGGAGTCTCTACCCCTCGATGTAAGGACAGGTCTCTGGGAGGCAGAAACGGAAGAAGAGTGGCAAGCTGCTGTGGCTATCCATGGCGGCGTAGAGTCAGAATTGATTTCATGGGCCGAGTTCATTGGAAGTGGCGGCCCAGAGCCTCGTCAATGTTATGACGGGATGCTCCAGCGGATGCTTCTTATGATTCACTTTGGTAAGGCCGCTGCTGACCTCCAGTAGCATACCCAAGGCACACTGGTCTTATGCAAATGGGAAGATACCTTGCTTCATTCACGTCTCGGTGTGAAAAGGCCAATGTTCTCCACAGTCTTGAGGCGCAACAAGGTACGTGGAGATCTCTCCTGAAATACCCGAGTGGAAACTAATACTATTCACGTTAGACGAAGGTCGTGCTCCACCCCCATCGTGGATCGGAAATCGTACTACGGTCTTCGATGCAAGGACGTCTTGGGTAGAGGAGGGAAAAGTACCGGGTCTGACTCTCGAGATACTTTGTACAGAACAATGACATCCCTCTTCATTAGAGCGATGGCTCTCTTGTCTGACGGAGTATTTTCTTCGACTCCTTCTCCACTTGTGGGTGATAGCAACCCTCCCATATCCAACAGTCACCGGACGAGGTCAAACAACACCAGAGGTATATAAAAGGGAGAAGTGAGCGGTGGCCGCTCCTACCACACACCAACCTTGTTGCTGCGAGCTCATTCATCTAACCATTGAAACATGGAATACAACCAAGACCTTCCCAAGGGCCGGACCTTGTAAGTCCCCCAAGCTATATCAGCTCACCTGTAGAGCCGGATTGTCATTACTTGGATGTTAACAATATCTCTGCGGACACGTAGGGACCCAGTATTTTGCTGGGGCCACAAAGCTCTCCCACCACAACGCGGCGTGGTTACATATGCAGTCTCACCGAACCGGCTCAACCCGTTGGCGAACTCCTTGCACAGCGCTGTGTTTAACACATACCGTCGATCAAAGAATCAGGTGTTATACTGGGTGCCGCCCTTTGTTGTCGCTTATCTGCTGATGGACTGGGCCAATCGACGGTATGTCGAGTCGCGTCCCTGTACCATTTCTCTAGACAGTCAGGCAGGGGCCTCCGTGACACCCTTTCACCAAGAATAGAAAGGAGGAAACCCGGACGACCCTGCTCTCTCCGCCCTTCCTTCCTTTCTCGGCACGATGCGCTATACATCGCACTTACATACCTGCTGACAAGGGCTCGCTCGCTGAGATAGGAACGCGCACCTCAATTCCAAAGCTGGCAGGGTAGAGGCAGCCAAGGGGGACTGACCAAGAGTGTTTGGGGGGGGGGGGGGGGCAATCTGCATCTTAGAGAAAGGAGCATAGGAGACGAAACTCGGGTCCATTCACGTCGAATCCGCTGCGGTACTTCAACCAACGCGCGCGCGAGAGAGAGGCAGCGAGAGAGCGACCGAGTATTGCAGAAAGCCGAATCAAATCACCTTTCGTGAAGACTGTGTATGTACCTAGGGCAATGTACCTAGGGCACAAGCTATATATGGAACACGTACCGTCCGTGCGCCCGTCCTCCGCAGTCTGTGAAGTCTCATGCATCATAACACACTTCTGCTCACACACGCCACTCATACTTATGCCAAAGTCCAAGATTTGCTTGAATACATGTTCTGGAGAGGCAGAACCATATGTAGCTCGTGCTGTGGTGCTCGTCGGTTGTTCTCGTGTGTCCGTGAGGGATGAATGACGAGATGATGGTCCTTTTCTACAGATACTGCTTTCTTTTTTCTCTTCGTTAAAACAAGATCGAAACTTCCTTTGCATTTTCATATTTCTGGCTCTTTGGCCCTACCATAAGACTAGACTGGACGATGCCCTCCGAATTGTTACACCATGATATACAACTCATCTCTCGGTAAGCCATCCTCTTTCAAGTTCGGATAATAGGGCACCATTGCATCTGCGCTGTGCACATATGCATCGTTGTATAACCTCCAGTATGGCGTGCGAACTTTCCTCGCTGGATGGAAAAGTCCTGCCCACACATAGTTCATCACAATGCCGGTACCAACCGCCATTCTTATTGCCTCAATGGCCTCGATGATCCGATCAATGACGTGCGGTGACGTTTCGAATAGGTTGGGGTAAAGAAGATTCAGGAGATGGACCATTGCGTCTTCACACCCAAGGCCCATAACACCAAGCGCCACGTGTTTGACCACACTAGCTGCGGTTTGCCGGTGGACTTGATCCCGATCAATGAGTGCATCCTCCAATAAAGGCGTAACGGCGTATACATAGTCCTTGGCCATTTCGCCAATATATTCGAATAGAAAACTCAGCGATTTCAACACGCCGTTCTGCACGTTGAGTTCGGGAACGCGGTATTCGTTCATCAATGCCGGCAAGACAGTGAAAGGTGCGCATGTTTCGGCGACAATACCGATAGCCACCGCGGTACAAACGCGAGATTGCCGCTCTTGAACGCGTAGATTGTTGAGAAGGGTCGCGAGAACATCCTGTGGACCGATAGCTTTGGCAATAAACCCGAAAGTGTTGTTGGCAGCTCGACGAATTCCCTTCTTGTGTGCCTTCAGCATATCCAAAAGTTCAAAGCATATACGCATCCACTCCCTGGCGTTGACGGATTCAGGACCTCGATCCGCAATACGTCCAACAAGATCAATCGTGTTTTCCTGGACTTTTTCGTGGCGATTACGCAGAATGGGAGTTAGACGCGGCAACAGGTCCTTGATCGGTGGTTGCATCTGGTTGATTCCCACCACGGTGACAATGGATCGGAGTGCGCCCAGAATAGATCCCAAGACTTCGGGATACTCCTCCCCAAGGTACTCATAGAGGACGACACCGAGTTTGCCCATCAGAGCATCTTCACCACATTGTTTCATGACCATCGCAATACGCGAAATGAGATCTGCAGCTTGTTGGCGGACCGTAGCAGATTTATTGTTCAGTCGCCAGAGGATTGTGCTGACGATTTGTGGGAGGTAAGGTTTACATCGTGTCCCTAGGGCGTTGACAACTGTACCGAAGCCGTTGAGCATGACAATATCCTCAATGCTCTGCTCTTGGAAGGCGTGGAGAATGCCGTCCACGAGCCGTTCTTCAAGTCTTTCACCAATATCCGCAGCGCCTAGGGAAGCGATAACTTTCTCGATAGTTTCCACAGTCATTTTGCGGTAGGCCTCGCTCTCATCTTTCAGATTGTTCACAATTCGCTCGACAATCTCACTGACGCCAACTTTCTGACCAAGGTCAACCGTGGTTTCGACAACCTGACGGTAATTTCTCTTGTCAAGTGCCATTCGTCGGACCCAGAAACTCTTGAAGAAGTCTTGTAGCACATGCTCCTTAAGGTATGCAGCAGTCACGCCATCGGTGCTTGCGCATTGGGAAACAACTTTCAGTACGACTTTCTTCATTTCTTCGTCCGGAGAGGCGAATTCTCGAAGCAGAATTTCCATAATCTGGCTGGTGTAGTAGTTGGCGTACTCTTCGTCCATGAGAGGAATAATATAGCCCACAGCTTTCAAGAAGCCGGCAAGCCCTTTACCACGTTGCTTTCGGGCACCAGTCCAAAGAGGATTGAGGATATCATCGAAGCTCTCGATGCCATAGGGATTGGCCGCTTCGGCCAGTGCAGCAATTGCCAGAGAAGTAACAGTCCTCACCTTAGCTTGCTCGTCACTTAGGTTGTCGGCGATGCAATCGACCAAGCCCTTCAAGTGAGGCAATACAGCGCAACCCATCAAAATAGGGATTTGCTGCACGATCTTGACGCCTGTGTGTCGGGCTTGCCACGACTTCTTGCTCCGACAGACAGCACGCAAGAAGGGAAGAAGTGCCGGAATCCCCAAGGCTGAAGCCACGACAGCGAACGCCCTAGCTGTAGTGTTACGGACATATTCATCCACATGGTCGATATCTGGTCGCATTGTACTGATCATATGAGCCAGGCCAGCAGCTTTGGCCAAATTGGAGATGATTTCCCGTCCTTCAACACGAGCGTAGTAGTCCTGATCAATGAGGAGAGGCTCAATCACGACCAAGATCTTGTGTACATAGGGTCTGATCAGATCATCGAGTTTGTAGAGAACACGATCGATAACCTTAACGAGCAGATGGCGTTCCTGATCTTCCAGAGACTTTTCCATCAATAACGGCAGAATCTGGTTAAATAGAGGGCCGGCTCCAAATTGACGGGCATTGTCGGTCAACTGTCGGAGCGCAGTCTTACGCATTGGTGGGGTGCCATTCTTGACTTTGAGCAGCAAGCGCATGATCTTTCTCTCTTTTAATTCGTCGACTGACAGGGCATTTTCATCTGCACCATCGACGAGCTTGCCGAAATAAGTCATGTCCTCAGCCTTGAAGAACTGGAGGTCACCCACGCCGGGGATTTCTGTGGGTAGTTGCTTTCCCAGCATTCTTGGATTCTCCGGCTCTTGCATCATGAAACCACCTATGCCAGCCGAACCGCTCGCCGTGGCAGGCGTTGCGGCCACTTTTCTGGCGACAGGTCGTATGGGAGCATATCCAGGAGGTGGTTCGAGAATGGTGTAACCCTCTGAAGGTAGCATCATGTCGAGCTCTTCGTCTGACCAAGGAGCATTTCGTCCAGTGATATCTGTCCCAAAGCTTACCTGCGCCATTTGTGAAGGATGCATTGGAGTGGCCAGGCCGGCATTACCAACGGGGGTTGCCGATGTAAGTGCAGGCGCTTGATCCCATCTAGAGCGTTTTGTTGGTGCTGGCGCTCCATCCGGGGCCGGGGCCTGATCCCACCTCGAGCGCTTCTTCGTGTCTCCTCCGTCAGGAGCGGGAGTGGCTTCGGAAGATACATCCCACCTCTTCTTCCGCTTGCGTCCCGTTGCTTCAACAGTAGACCCAGCGTCTGCATTCTCCTTATCTGCTTCTTCCTTGAGCGTTGGTCTGTGTTCGACAGTGTCGCCATTTGTCTGTTTCTCAGCAATGAGTTTCTTAACTCGTTCTTCCTCGCGCTCGAGGTCCTGCAGTTGCATGACCTCACGATAAGTCGCACCATCCGTGACGCCAGCATGCTTGTTTGCAGCAAAGGGATCGGCTCGGGTTGGCGTTAAAGGACCACGATCAAATCTTCTCTTCTGGTAATCAGTTTCACGATCTGCTATTCTGGCAGATTTCTCACGCCCAAGTAAGATATCCTCTTCTTCCACACCATTTCCAGTGGCAAATTCGTTCATTTGGTCCTTTGTTGCTGTATACTGTCCGACGAGTCTCCGACTGCTATCTGCATCTGGCATCTCGTCATCTTCGCCGTCGGCGGGGAGGGAAGTATGGTATCCGGCAAACTTGTCGGCGCCGTTGTGGTCGTAGAGAACGGTATCAAAACTTTCAGTCAAAGACGCCTTGGTGGATGAGTCAGTGCGTTGAGTCGATGGATCGAAGGTCTTTGAACCTTTCTTGCTGGCTGCTTGAGCATTGCGCTCTGCCTGCAGGCGCCGCACAGTATCGAAGTCGGCTTGAGGTGATGTTAGCTGGTCATTCGGATTTGATCGCCCTGGTCGCTTACCGTCCGACATGTTGCGCGCCGTAGTCACCTCGATAAAGATTTAGCAAGCAGAGACAAAATGAAAGAATGTACTAAGAGGTGTTGATACGTGAGATGGTCGTCTCCGCAGGCACTTGCGAGAGGCGAAGAACAGTAGCGAAGTCTAATTTGTCACCATCTTTGTCTAGATAGTCATGTGACCGTGGTTGGTCTTGGCGCTTTCCTGGAACTTCCCCAGCTTGAGAGCAAACATCGATCATCAAGCTCCAATCTCTACGTTGGGTTTCAGCTACGAATATTCGTTAATTGGAGCCCACATTGACTGTTACATTTCACTGAATGCTTGTCTCGGCTTATGTGAACCTCGTATGGATTCTGCAGTACCCGAGACTTGGCAATGAACAGCATGGAATCAGACTCCAGTAGCGCAGATAGAGAAAGGTGTTGGCTTGCGCTCAACAGGATAGATACAGGCGATGGTGGTGGCCATGAAAAGATTTTCCTGCCCCAAAGAGGCATGCTCCGAACCCTAGAGTGGCCAGGCTCCAGCAGTCACGGGCGGCCAGGGTTTAGTTAAACTAATGCCTGCAGCAGAAGTAATAATCCTAAGCACCCGCTAACTGAAGGAAATGCATGCACCCACTGTGCACCCTACCCCACACTGGGTCCTCTGGAAACGGCCTGCACCTCCTTTCCCCTTCCCACTGTGCCACTGTGCCACTCCCTCCCACACCACCACTCTCAATCCCACCACCAGCTGCACGACTTTACCATTCTCACACTGCCAAATCACCTGGGCCTGTAGATTTTCTCCTGATGATCTCCCAATCGCTACAATTCGGCGCTGGGCAATACCACACACATCTCTGACCTGGACGTCGTATCACATCGTTCCTGCATAAGGCTTTTTCACTTTGCAATTCTACCCCCGGCACCTCGACTCTCTCTATTTGAATGCGTCCGATGTTTCATCTCCCCAGCCGTTTGTTCGTCTCGTTGACCTCCGGGTAACGTCGTATTCAGTGTCCTGTTTGATCGCATGAAAATTTGGCAAATACTGAACCTGGGCTTTGTCGCTGTTGTATTTAGTCCCACCACTTCGAATCGTCCGAGTTGAATCTGGACCCAATGCGACGCTGGCAAGCTCATTAATTGAGTCTCAAATCCTCCTCTCTGAAGAGCCACACACTCACTTCCTCTTGTCGAGTTCTCCGTGCCAATGCCAGGTTGCTCAGTCCACGGTCTGGCCGGCGACCGTCGAAGGAAATTGAAGCAACAGACTGGTGCGCGCAGTCTGCACCCGGGTCTTGATATATAATAGTGGCAGTGGTGATTGGGACTAGGCCTGACATCATTGTCCGATCGGCGAGGAGGCTCGTCAGGTTTCTAGACGATGAAACCGAATGATCGGGAAGACATGGCAAACGTGGTGACCCAGACAAGGTCCAGATCACAACTAATTCAACGGAGATCCAGCCGCCAGGCTTCGTCCCGGGATAGGCATGGCAAAATATTCGAAGAGACAGAACACCCTACCATTCGCGCTGTGACGCCAGATTATATTACGCCTCGCGCCGAATCTTTCGATGCCAGTCAATTCCACTCGCCAGTACTGCAGCCGACACGCACGCGGCATTCACAAAGGAGGAGAGAAACATCCGCATCTGCGTCGAATACTGAGGAAGAGAGCACGATTGAGCGAAGAAGGCGGAGGGCACAGACAAGAACAAGTACAAACGATGAAAACCCCGTGGATATCTCGCCCGGGTCCTTTATCACCAAAACTCGGAAGAGGCTTGGATCCATCGCCACGGGTCTTCCCATCCTCCCTCCTGATGAGGCTCACGGATCAATTGGGTTCCCTTCAGTGGTACAGAGTCCCGAGCTCTTAGACCAACACGGTCCACCGAAGACTCCGCGCCGACCATTTTCCCCAAATGACGCCTTTGGCGCCAGCGCAAGCAGTCTTCGGTCTCCCAAATTGCTTGATATCGACTCGGGCAAAATTCTGCATCTCATGAAAACTACCTGTGGACGAATGCATGGTATCCTTTTCTTTAGGCCACTGCATACAACGGCATGGGCTTCTGGCTATTGTGCTATCAATGTCGCGCCTGGCAGTCTGGTATGCCAAACGAAAGGCGAGATCAATCAATCTAAGGTATTGATAGCAGATCTGCGAGGATGCACTGTCAGGACTCACTACGACCATGAATCTCAGAGCACTTATCTCAGTGTTTTGGTTGCATCGTCAGGAACGGGCTATCAGCTTCGACCCCCAGTGCCTGAAACATTTGACTCATGGCTTGCAGCATTGTTGTGTTGGCAGCCGTTAAGACCGAAGGGAATACACAACAAGATGACCAAACCTCAACCAGTTGGAATCGCTGAGAAAAAGGCAGTGTCGCAAAGGCGACTTTCTGATCTCACTAATCCAAAGGCCACGGCTATCGTCAAAGTGGGAAAGATGCTACTGTGGGATGGACCACTGCCCTCGGGATCTCAGCTTGAATCTTCACCTGGTAGCCTCGGTCGGTCGATGACAGAAGAAAACTACCTCTGGCGTAGAGTGAGCTGCGCTCTCCACGAAAATGGCACCTTCCGCCTTCTCAGCGAGATCGACAGTCAGGTTCTCTCGGTGACATTGTTGCCACAACTTTCGCGCTGTGCAATTCAGCGACTGGACGAAAGTGTGCTGCGGATGCCACACTGTATTGCGATCTACCCTCATTATCGTGTCCAAACCCCTGCTGTCGGGCTTTCGAGACCCATGGTCTTGTGCTTAGAATCCAATGTCGCACTCGAAGCCTGGTTTGTCTTACTACGAGCTCTGACGGTGCCGGAGTTATATGGCCCAGAACAATTGTCTCCCGAAGACGCACAGGCTTTGTCGTACCCATCTCAACACAGCAACAACGTCTCTACGCAGGGCATGTTTCGGATAGAGCGATCTCTTTCGATCAAAATAACCGAGGCAAAGTTTACCCAGCGGTCGGCTCCAATGGATACCTATAAGTACAACAAGGGAAAGGGAAAATCTGCAAAAGTTGAGCAGAGCAAAGAAGGGGTATACGCGGAGATTATGCTGGGCAAGGACTTGCGGGCCCGGACCTCAACCAAGCAGACGGTTTCTTCGGCCTTTTGGGCGGAAGAGTTCAATTTACCAGACATTCCCGCAGCTTTGTCCAAGATCACCATCGCAGTCAAGCTCGGAAATCCTGCAGAGAAAGAATGGACGATGGTCGCTGATAGCCTCTACGATATCTCGGCAGATGCTGGCTACCTTTCCGGCCTCGGCGGCTTGGAAATCTCATCCCACGATCCGATCTATGGGAGGGTGGACGTCTCAATCGATGAATTGGAACGTAGTGGCACTATCGACAAGTGGTGGCCTTTGTTGGACAACAGCGATCGTTCCGTTGGCACGCTTCTGGCTCGATTTACGCTGGACGAGACGGTTATTCTGATGGAGTCCGAGTACGAAGAATTTGCCGCTCTTCTGCAAAACTACACGAATGGCTTGACAACACAAATCGCTCATCTCCTGGGACCCGATCTTCGACAACTGTCGGACATCCTTCTGGACATATTCCAGGCGTCGGGCACTGCCACTGACTGGATCAACAACCTTGTGGAGGAAGAAATTGACGGCATCTACAAAGATACACCCCCAATGCGAATGCGCTTCAGTGGCCGCATCCACTCCAATGATTCGTACGAGTCGGCCGAGCAGAGAGAAATGCTAGTCCGTGACCTCAGTCGATCAGCTACAATGGAGGCCAACTTACTTTTCCGGGGCAATTCCCTCGTAACCAAGGCACTAGATGCTCACATGCGCAGACTAGGAAGAGACTATATGGAGGATGTCCTGGGTGAAAAATTGCGCAAGATCATCGAAAAAGATCCTGATTGCGAAGTCGATCCCAGCAGAGTCCGATCGCCAGATCAGCTCGACAAGAACTGGGCCAACTTGTTGTTTCTCACCAGTGAAATTTGGAAGTCGATCTATGCATCCGCGGCTCAGTGTCCGATGGATTTGCGCGTCGTTTTCCGCCATGTCCGGTCTTGTGCAGAGGATCGATATGGCTCTTTTATTCGGACGGTCAAGTACACGAGCGTCTCCGGTTTTCTGTTCCTTCGTTTCTTTTGTCCCGCAATTTTGAATCCGAAACTCTTCGGCTTAATCCAGGGTAAGCTTTACTGGTCATCCTTCTCGGCTCATGCTAATATTGTCTAGATTTGCCCCCTGACCGCACGAAGAGGACTTTTACATTGATTGCAAAGTCACTCAATGTTCTTGCAAACTTGGCACGATTCGGCACCAAAGAGCCCTGGATGGAACCCATGAACAAGTTTTTGGCAGCGTCGACGAATCAGTTCAGAGCCTACATCGACGAGATATGTTCCGTCAGCTCCTCCCAGATTGCTTCGGCTAAACTCGAGCCTCAATATGCCGCGCCAAATCAGATACGAGGCCGACTTCCAGCCCTGTCCCGCGAGGGCCTCCCCAGCCTTCCATTCCTTCTGGACCATGCAAAGCTGATGGCACAGCTCATTGACCTCTGGGTTACGCATGCTCCTGAAAACATTAGCGAAGCAACTGACGACGAGGCTGTGCAAGCATTTCATGCGGTGTGCGTGAGGCTCTCGCAAAGGAGCAAAGAATGCCTGAAGGCTGCGGAGCAAGCTGAACGGCCCGACGAAAGGTCGGAACATACGTGGCAACGGCTTGTATCAGACCAGCAAAATCCTATGGCGCCTAACAACACTTTCGAAGTGACTTTACGAAGATCACAGAGGGACAATGAAATCACGGCCCTTCCCCAAACGGCAGACACCGTGGCAGATGTAGAATACAAGAATATTGAACTCTCTCCAACTGTTGGAGAAGGCGACACGACACCATCTAGCTCAACATCAGCGTGGGAAAGACGGATTCCCTACCCTCAACGGGCAGCAGAGACCCGAACAATGACTGACTCGACGAATTCATCGACTGATGCAGTTGATATGGTTGAAGATGCTCGGCGGCCAATGTCCAGCAGCCGCGATGGTCCGGCCAAAAGCCGGTTGTTTGAATTAATGAGTTCTTCTTCACGGCGGAGAGGAAAAACTGGGGATCGCAGTTACGTGGACGACGACGGGCACGAGCTTTGACGACAGATGCAGCAGGATTTTATGATCTTTTTGACGTCGCTAGATACCAAACCATGTACAAGAAACAATGATCTTTTAGTACCAGTCTCATTGGCATTGCCAGCTGCTATTAGCTGATGACTGATCCTTCATCCAAGAAGCTACAAAAGGAGGGAAACTCTCCGTTCTTTTAATATGAGCGGGGAGGTAATGGTTAGAGCAGTGACGGCAACCTCGTGTCTGCAACCTAACACTTCTCGCTGTCTAGCGTTCTAGCTCAAAGTCGGAGTGGCAGGATGGTACAGTATTACGACCAGACAAAGAATCCAGACGAAGAGCGGAGAGCATTTCAGGAGCCGATGTCTCACTTCAAGAGAGTTTGAACGCGGCCGATCGCATGTCAGTCAGTGCAGAGAAACCTTAGTGAGACACCTCAGACCAACCTCTCCCTGGCTGCCAGCCTTCCCGCCACAATGTCCAACCAATCCAAGATCCTCGGGAACCAGAGCATCTGTTCCTGTCTCTTCCACCAGGCAGCACCGCGACCACCACCACCGATCGATTCGTCGCCTTTTTCCTTTTCCTTTGCCTTTTCCCTCGCCATCTCCAGGGCCCTTTCCTCTTCAATCCCTCCTAGGACGGAGTATGTCCCCTCGTCCATCTCGACCCCACCCCTCTCCATTTCCGAGAGCAGCTCGTCCACCTCCCGCAAGGAACTCCGCGTCAGCCAGACCAGTGACATCAACGAGTTGTAGAACTGGGGACTGGCGCCGAGCACGTACGACGTGGTGCCTAGAGAGCGGATCCGCGGCAGGAGGAGCAGCGCGTAGGGCGACGAGGGATAGAAATTCATGTATAACCTGAGGGCGAGGAGAATGGAGGCCGGGTACGTGTGCTGGAGGATGGCGAGCTGGGCTGGAGAAGGTGTCGATGGCGAGATATGGTGTTGGCCCGCCAGAGGTGAGTTTTCATTCGTGGTGTCTTCCGTGACACGGGTGCCAGAGATAGAAGAGGAAAGCCGTAGCTCTCTTTCCGCCGCTTCGATCATTTGGCGAGGATCGTCCGACTTTTCTCGCGAGAATGTAAACTTTCGCAGGCCCCCGTATCTCGGCGTCTCCTCCTTGCCAGCCAGTGGCCGACGAGAACTTGGCTGTAAGTCCGTGGCTATGGAAAAGATCCGAGACTCGCAAACCTCCCACATGGCGATGTCACCTCTCTTGGCCTTCGAATATGCTGCGTCCTGAAGAGCTCGGGATATAGAGTGCATGTGGTCACGAACGGCCTGTTGGATGGATTCTTCGAGTTGGCTGAACGGGTGAGACGGAATGGCGGTCTCGGCGAGTGATTGTTCCAGGATATCTCCTTGTCGTGGCTCGGGAATAGGGCCCTCCTCTGGGACTGGTGGTGCTGAATGTATGTCGACTTGTGCCGTCGAGTTTTCTGTCATTTCGGCAGTGGTTGTTGCCTCGCGTTGAATTGAAGTGGAGAGACCTTCTCCACGGTCAATTTTGCCGCCTAGACCTATCTGGTCTCCCAACTCTGGGTCATGTTGTTCTGTTGGCGGTTGTTGGTCGGGTCGCTCTGTGCGGGCTACTAGATGCACGCCATTGCCATCGAGCTTGGGGGCAAGGTGAGACCCATCCCGCTGTGACTGATGACCACGCAGAGAAGAGGTGAATATCTTGAGTATATTCTCAATGTCAGTGTCGGCGGCTTCGGCATAACTTGAGCGTCGCTTGGGAGAGGCCGTTTCAGTTTGTTTAGGGGCAAACCGCAACATCGTCTCAAAGGCCCTCCGCTCGCTCGCGGTGATGGTAGAGCTGATCGTTGTTTCGGCGTTCTTGGAGGTAGATCTAGGCGCTATGGGAGACCAAGAGACGCTTCGGGCTTTGGCCTTGAGAAACGACTCCTCGTCCGAGGAAAGGGGAGGGTTGCCATCTTCGATGGCGTCTGAACCCGCCTGAGACGACACAAATCGCGAACGAGAGCGACAGGCTCGGTTTGAGACGCGCAAGATGGTCCTGGTGTGGTACAAGAATGGTAGTTCAATGCGAGCTGCCATACCTCAGATTCCAGTAACGAGAAAAGATATATAGAAGAGCATAACTGGCAGCCCTCGGAAGCGGGAGAAATTCCATATCACGTGCCTGAAGGAAGGTTTAGCGGGACGCGCCCCACTAAGCCAGTTACAGAGCTTGGCAGATTTGCTCATCCTCGGAGCCTGACAACGACGTGCCACTCTGACTCCTGACCCAAGCACGCCAGCCAGGCACTCTAGGCCAGGCTGAATCCTCTCTCTCCGCCCTTTCTTAACCGCAACTGCGCGCCGCGCCCCACCACGCAACTAGTGACCAAGAGACACTTGCTCTGCCCACCGAGCGTGATCCCTCATTGATAAAGACCATATCTACCGCCTCACCTCTACGTCGCTTCTCTGCCGTCTCCTACCACGATTACAAATTCTGAATCTCGTTGTCGCCATTTCCTCCCACACCACTCGATCCCAATCCATCGCACGCTCCGCTCTGACGTACACGTTATCGTCCTGCATCACCCCCACGCTGGTCGGCCGAACACGTGGAGAGTGTGCTTTCGTCCCGAGTCTGCGCGGTCCAGGTGCCGCATGACTTGTGGCACAACTCGCGATCACACAGCATACCAATCCTCCCGGGGTAGCCTGACCACATCTTCGGTGCACAGGAAGCCTTCCACGCTTCAACCTGCGCTGGACACACACACTACACCCTCTGTGACCTGTGCACATCATGAGCACTGCCCTCCCTCGATTGACTTCAGAACCCCCTGCAGCCTGGAATGAGCATGATCAATACGCAACCATGAATCGAGGACATTCAAAGAGCACCCCTCAACACCCTGCGTCTATGATGCACGGACCGAGCAGACAGCGCAATGGCTTCGGTGGCGGCAACGGCGAGAAGGCTGTTCCAGTACCAGGGTCAACGCCATTTGGAAATGGCGCGGACAGAAAAAGCAGTGTTTCACAGGGCCAGCCGTTATTTGATATGGCCAGAAGTCCTCCGACCACGTCAAGCAAGAGTGAATAAGTTTGGTTCCCCGCAAGAATACACGTATGCTGACACGTCGCAAGATACCAAACACGTCCCATGTAAATTCTTCCGTCAAGGTGCATGTCAGGCGGGGAATGCATGCCCTTTTTCTCATTCCCTCGATCCCATGACACAGCAAGCGCCTTGCAAATATTTTATGAAGGTACGAGTGTCGACAGAAGTCATCATAGGTCAGAATCTAACATGTGCAGGGTAATTGCAAGTTTGGCGCCAAATGTGCACTTGCCCACTATCTCCCTGACGGACGACGAGTCAATCGAGCAGACCTCGATGCCGGCTTTGCCATGGCAGGACGGAATTTCAACTACGCAAATCGAACTGAACAGACATCATTCCCAAGTCAAGATCCGAGTGCGGGAGATTCCATGCTCAATCAACCGCCCTTCGGCCCAGACTACTTCCAAGGTCAAGCTTTTCCATTGATGGACAGTGACGAAACAGACGCGTTTCAGGACCGGTACAACCAATATCAACCGCCCTCGGCCCTCGATTCAGGTCTCAACTCACCCCCAACATCTCAGTTTGGTTCCCCTCCCAATGATTACCAATTCCCCAAGTCACCAGTCGAAAACCTTAGAACAGCTCTTAACGCACCTCTACCACAATCATTCGACGCTAATGGAGTTTCCCACATAGCGAAGTATGGGCCTCTAGGTCAATCTGTCCCAGACAAGTTTGGCATGCGGTCTCCAGCCTCTTCTTCGCTGTCTAGACAACTTGGAAGTCCACCAGAATCGATTGTCAATGTCCGAAACGCCAATCTTGGGTCTAATTTGAGAAATGTGTCACCTCTAGGTCTCTCGCCGCAGAATGCAGAAGAGTCTATTGGCCAGAGAATTATGCATTCCCAACGAACCGTCAAAACGAGAGGACTGTCCGCGAGTGTTCCGCGCTCACATCTTCCTTATGAGTGGGAGGAAGGAATGGGGGCAGAGACCGACCTACTTCCCAACAGTTTGCACGATGAGTTACTTACTCCACAGGAGAAGATGCGCCGCACTTCAAGGGCGGATCAAGAGCACAGCTCCAAGGATCATGTGCATGCCCTAGCGATCCCAAGTGGAACTTCTAGCAAAGTTGGATCCCCGCCAGCGGGAAGTCCTTCCAGATTCAGTGCTCTGTGGGCTGAACAAAGGGAGAAAAAGGCGGCCGAAAGCATCGGCCCGTCCAGCTTTGGCCATGTTGGGTCACCTCTTCGTGGCTCGTGGATGCCTAACGAATCGTCGACTCCGAACGTACAAATATCTGGTATATCTCAAGCGATGGCTCGGATGCAGCTCAATCGAGTTGACTCTGGCGAATTGAATGGATTGAGAGTGCAGCCGAGTGGTCTCAGACATTCATCGGCGCCAATTGGCCGATTTGACCGCGGGATTTCCAGCCCAGGTTTGAGTTCTAAGAAGATCGATGAGGAGGTCGAAGGAGTATTCTTCCCGATGGACGGCGACGACAAGACACCGAACTGGTCAGGTCAGTCACCTCGACTAGTGCCTCTGCGCGACAGAAGTAATGGTGATTTGACAGGACAGAAAAGGGAGATTGCCGGACTTGATGAGACCGGGTTGAAGTCAATATGGGCTTTTCGCTCGTGAGAGGTTTCTGGGGAATAACGACGGATGGCAAAACACTTTTGTCACACATAATAACGAAGTACGACCGGCGTTCAAAATTGTACAGAATGGTCGATATCACCGGGACTCCGCATTCAAGTGACGAAGGCATGAAATCCAAAACTGACGCATACATACACACATTCCACGGCGTTTTCAACGAAAGATGAAACCGGAACCAGGGCATTGAGAGAGAGGCACGAGAGAAATGATGGGGGCTACAGATACCTCTTGCTTGTTTTGAAGTCTTGCTTATATGGAGTGCCATAGAGACAATGTTGCCAGAGTTGAATACGAGATGATTTACTGCTGTAATCCCCCAAGTGTGTGTACCTGATATAGGAGGCTGCAGAAGGCTGAGGCGGAGTCTAAGGCTGAGGTCTCTAAACAGGCCTGATTGGGTCGGGATACCTTCCGCGTACACGTTTGCGTTAGGTTCCTGCATTGGAACTTTTTGGAGTGTTACACAGATCTCCGCCAGGTCTCCGACGACCGTTGACTATTCTAGCTGAAGACTGTATACCTTCCTTCTATTCCCCCTTGTTCCAAGGCATGTTGAGTAGTGGCTCGGGGTGGCGGCTATGCTCAACATGCATTGGACCTTGGCTGCGCACGGCAGCTAGAATTGCTGCTCCTCCTCGTCTTCGAGTCCGCTTCCAGAGTTCACGTACGTTAACATGTCTTTCCACATTGCGCGCGAGATCGCTGCACCTCTCGGACGTCCTAAGTGACTGACTTCTCTCTCAGAATCGACATTACCTCTTGTGAATGGGCCGGAATTATCGCCGGTTCTTCTCCAGCGCGCAAGGACAGTCGCCGCAGAACACCAGCAGCTGGCCGCGGCCAATGCGGAGAATTATGATGTAGCCGTCGCGAAGAGGATCGGGGAGTTGGGCCCCGTCTCCGCGGCGTTGAAGGAGTGGGATGATGCACAGAATGTAAATATACCCTTTCGTCACGGTCGGATGTCGCAGATCTGTATATTGACAATGTATTGGGGATTAGTCTCTCGAAGAACTCAACGCTCTCCTGCATGACCCTTCTTCCGACGCTGAGCTTCGTTCTCTCGCAGAGACAGACATCCAAGCCACTACAGCGTCTTTGCAGCTGCTGGCCTCGAATCTGAAGAGGTCACTCATTCCGCCTCATCCCTTTGCTTCCATGCCTTGTCTGATCGAAATCCACCCGGGCGCAGGGGGCTCCGAGGCTTCCCTGTTCGCCCAGTCCTTGTTGAACATGTACACCGACTTCTGTGCGCGAAAGAGGTGGCCCGTAACACTGGCGAGCTATTCACCAGACGATTCGACTCATGAGGCGGGATTGACGGACGCGCTGCTGGAAGTCAATCATCCCGGCTCATACGATGTATTGAGGACAGAAGCCGGAGTCCATCGCGTGCAGCGTGTCCCCGCGACGGAGAAGAAAGGGCGCACACACACCAGTGCGGTCTCGGTGCTTGTGCTGCCCAACCTGCCAGACTCATCGGCCAATGCGGAGGGTTTGAATTACGACGACCCTAACTCGGACTACTACATCTCGCCGGCGGAGGTGAGATCGGAGACGATGCGCGCGAGAGGCGCGGGTGGCCAGCATGTCAACAAGACCGACTCGGCCGTGCGACTGACCCATCTGCCAACGGGGACCGTCGTGGCGATGCAAGACTCGCGCTCCCAGCACAAAAACCGCGAAAAGGCCTGGGCGGTGTTGCGGGCCAAGCTTGCCCAGATGCGCCGCGAGCAGCGCGAGGCCGAGATCATCAGCATGCGCCGCGCGGCCATGGGCGGCGTCGCCCGCACGGGCAGAGAGGACAAGATCCGCACGTACAACTTTTCCCAGAACCGGGTCACCGACCACAGATGTGGCGTGGAGAGTAGCGACCTGGACGGCGTCCTGGGCGGCGGCCAGAGCTTGGAGACGGTCATGAACAGTGTCCGCGAGTGGATGAACGAAGAAGAGGTTCGGGGCTTGGTGGCCGAGGAGGAGATGAAGATTAAGGGCAAGGAGAGACAACAGCGATAGCAAAATGAAAAAAAACATAGCTTAGTGGGACATGGCATCTTGGTGATGCTTTCTCCTGTTTGTTTTCTTCTGGCAGCTACTGCCGCTTGACGCCATGCTACCTACATACAGCAGGAGACGCTTGCTGGCCCATCCCAGTAAGTAAAAGCACATGTGTGAGCTCTTCAATCCCTGCAGCCCCTGTTCACCAACCAGCTAGCTAGCGATTTAGCTAGTTGTGCTTGGTTCGCAGCTCAAAAAAAAAAAGTCCCCTGTTTCAGTCCCTCAAAAACCTGTCATCACTCAATGCCATGCCATGTCATGCTCGTGGGTATCATCCCTTTTTTTTTTCTTCTGCTTCTCTCCCGAATGCACGTCACTTTTTCCCTACTTTTGCTTTTGCTTTGGTACTCTGCCCTCAGCTCAATGTTCTCTGCCAACAGCTTCTCCGTCACCCATGCTTCTGTTCACTGTTCTTCGCTGCCTCGGATCGAGCTCTTCGAGCTCCTTCATGTGACGACATTCCGAGTTCCTTTTGCAGCTGGCGGGCTGTTCAGACTGCTGGAGTGGAACGGACTATTACTCCGTAAAACATTGTTGTCGATTGTCTTGATCTTCTTGTCGTTTCATTTGATTCAGCTATTCAACAGAAATTCTTTTTGCGCGCATTGATTCCATCAGTGTCCGTTCATTTCGCCACAGCGGCGCTCAACACCTGTGTGCGGAAGAATGCGCCCTTCGTCTTCTCAATGACCTGTTGGTAAACACTCTGTGGGGGGTGGTTCATGACTACCGTTCCAGCCTGGTAATCGATTTTAGCGTCAACTTTTGTGTCGCGGATGAGGTTAACAATCCATTTCTCGCCTTCACTGGGGGAAAGTCCAAGACGGGTAGAGAGATCCCTGGGCCACGGGAGTCAGTATTTGAGTTGGTGCAAAGGCGTAGTCACTCACTGGATATCGATTCTCTGGTGGATCTTGCAATAGCTTTCCGAGATGAGATGCCGGGCACTCTCCATGAAAGCATCTGTTGAGCTCCCCAGGAAAAAATCTCCTCTCAAGATTGCCTCAGCTTCCGACAACTTTTTCTGTGCACCTTCAAAATCGAAGTCGACATATAGGGCCTTGACAAATTCCGTCACAGGGTCCTGATACTCGTAGACTTCCTGCTTCACCACTCTGACAAGGTCTTTGAGTTGTTTCTGGTAGTTGTGAGAGTTGTTCATGCGGGCACGGTTGGTGATGACGGCTGCGGTGAGGTAACGCAGAATCCAGGGACAAACAGTTTGGATAGAAGAGATGTATGGTGGGGAGAAGAACATTTCGGTCAACTTTTCGCGAGCGGGTTCGTAGTTGAAGAAGGGGAAAAGAGCATAGTGCACCAGGGCTTCACGAGCGGTAAGTTGTGCGCGGGGGCTGTTGAACAAACGTGTCTCAATGTGTTCCTTGACCTTTTCCACTTCTTCAAGGGCGTTTTCCCACTCTTCCCCCAGAATTTCACAGACCAGCTTGCCCCACGTGGCCTTGACCACTTTTTCATTGTCAGTGGAGAGGACACGGAAGCGGTAGAGCAAGTCAGCGGCTTCGGGGTAAAGACCGCACTGGTAACGGAATCTGCCAAAATCATAGAGGTTGTCTACCATCTGCTGCGTAACTCCGTGTTGCTCTTCAAGAAATTTCAGGTTGGCGACTTTGTCACTTCGGAGTTGAGATGTAACTGACTCGTCGTTCAGCAAATTGGTCAGGTGCGCAGATTCCTCCTGGTACTTTGCCAGTTGATTCAACACTTCCTCTCTCTTCTTCGCGTAGTCTGCAGGTGTCGCGTCTGTCTTGTGAATTTCCTTGTAGAGATTGCCGACGTAGTCGATCATGTTCGTGTCACTGAGGAGATTGAATATGGCCTGTTTGAGGTCGTCGTAACGCTCTTGTGAGATATCTTCTGACTGCAGCTTGTGTTCAAGTAAGGGAAAGATGAGATGTCGGTCCATGTGCTGAATGAGTTTCGCCAAAAAGGCATATTCGCCGGTTGGGTCCTCGAGGTGCGCCATCGTGAATCTGGGTCGCGGTTCGTACCCTATGTAAAGGGCGTCGTAGAATTCTACCACAATTTCCAAATTCTCGGGCGTTAGGATGTCTTTTGAAGGCGGAGGAGAAGGAGGCGGAGTCGGTGGGAGGGAGATGCAGAAGATATACCCAGGTATATCTTGATTATCTTCGTGCTCAGGATGGCCCTTTGGGAGATTGTGGACCTGTGAGAACATTTTGAATATTGGTGGTGCGCCTGTGAAATTGAATCGAGCGGCGTCACGCTAATCCGAAAAGCGTTAGTCTTAAATAGGCAAATAAAAAGCGGCGTCAATGCCAAGACGAGTCAACGTTAGTCTTGGCTTTGACAGCCTTGCACCTCACGTGTGCATCACGTCCAATGTCCTCGTCTCAATAATTTGCTTCCAAGGTGCACAGCGCTTCCCAATTGTTTACGCTCTTGGACATGACCATGAAGCCCCCTTCAACTCTACTTCTACGGGCCATGCTCCATCCACAAAAGCCTCTTTGTCAGATCAGGTGGAAGTCAGAATGGATGCCCAGGGAGAAGTACGCAAAAATCACAACTCTGGACAAGCTACATCGAAAACAAAAAGCAGCCATCCGGAAAGAAAGTATGTCATTGCAGCAGGAGAGCCGTCTTGAAACTTCCCTGTATGAACACTCACTGACATAATCCGCAACCAACAGGACAGGACAGCGAAAATCGAGCCACCAAAATGTATCCGACCCCAACTTCTTCAGCGACTCGCTCGCAGTTACAGCAACCACAGCAGCAGGAGCAGGAGCAACGGCAAATGCCTCCCCAACATCCGTATTCCCTTAAGAGTCAAATCCAGAACCATAATCTAACACCCACCCTCTCCCCACTTCCGTACCTGGTCGTGCGCACCCCGTCCAAAAACCTCCCAATCTACCAAACATCCAAATCTGGCGGCTCCAAACACATCACCACGATCCGCAAGATCAAGGGTGATCTACAGGGGCTAGCAAACGCTGTGCGCACCGCTTTGGGGTTGGAAGAATATATCACCGACGTGCGGGGACGGAAGAAGGCCAACGTTGTGATCAACTGGACGACGAGGCATGTGGTTGTGAGGGGGTGGAGAGGTCCAGAGATCAAGCGGTGGGCAGAAGTAAATGGGTTTTGAAACAAACCATGGGTGAAGAGCACAAAATGGCCACGGTGACAGGTGTCTGGAGGCATCTGGCCATGCGAGCACCATACGATGTCTCACGTTCCGGAATGTGATGGTGGTGATGATGGTGAGAGAGGGGGGGGGGGGGCACAACCAACTGGCCTCACCGAGCCTCTCCACCTGACACCACATCCCATGGTACTGGGAGTTTCTAACATGGCGCAGTGAGCTCTATCAGGCACTGATGGGACAACAGCAAGCAATCGCAAGAACCAGAAGTCTATTTTGCGATCTACTCTACATGACGGGGGATGCATGAAAGGGAACCCTGATCTTGAGAGATATCAAGTTCTCGAAGAGTGAAGCAGAAATGGCTGGCATGTATTTATGCGTGTATCACTAACAAAATCAATTGTTTCATGCTTGGTGGCTTAGATTTCCTTCTCGCCAGTGTCACAAACCTATGGAGCTCAACCAAGGCGCGGTACGAGATTACAGAAGCAGCAGCCTGAAAGGCAATGCCCTTTTTCCTTTGCCTTGCTCTTAAGCTCAAGTCAAACAGTTTCTTTAATAGAATAAAGTTGAAGACTAAGTACACATATTTTGTGCCGTTCCATCTCTTTTTGGAGAGGAGTAGGCATCTCTTCAGTACCCAACCATTGTAACTATCATTTGGAGGTACAAAAAGGCCCTCAAGTCGAGCCCAAAGAAAGTTCCCGTCATAGCACATCTTGTTCTTGTCCTCCAACTCTTATTTGCACATGCTGAATGAATGCAATAGGGTATGCTCAAAATCCCGTACATCAGCCCAATGGCGCGCATGCCATCCAATGCTCATTGCGCTAATCCTCTAAACCAGCATAAACACAAAGTTGTCGCAGAATACCGGGGTCAATATCTTTCTGTATCATCGCTCCCAGCAAGGACTCTTTGCTCGGCATGATGCCCAACGGTACGATTGTAGAGCCGCTTTCGTCAGTTCTTCGAGCTTTTTGCACCAGGGTCTTCAATACGGCGATAGCACGATTTGCGATTGCTCCATACCCATTAACGTCGGGTTCAAAGGCATTATTTCGGCTATTCGGTGGTGGGTGTCTGGGAGCGGTCTGAGTCGACCGGTCCGCACTCAGTAAACCAACCAGCCGTAGAAGATTGCCTGCAAAACCATCGTCTGACTCTAGCCATGAGCGCGCCAATGGATGATCTGAGCCCGGAGCAAGACCCGCCAAGATCTCTGCAGCCAACATTCCTTGCAGGAGGAAGGGTTTCCGTGCTTCGATGAGTGTCCTAGTATGGCTTGAGTTTGCTGGTATTGAAGAAATGGCGAGTCCAAATGCCCTCGTCAGTAGCTCGTAGGGAGGGCTCGAATGCGCATCGGCAGCAAAGATGGCCTTGTAGTATGTCCGGTTCGGTTCGTCTCGCGCCAGAAGCTTGGCGAGGCTATCGACAGCGGAAGGCATGTATTTGTGTAGAGCGGGCGTGTATGGGACGAAAGAGACCTTGGTAGCAGAGCTTGAGGTAGGTGGTGGGGTGGGTGCGAATGCAAGAAGGAAATGCAGGACACAAAGGGCTTCTTCCTTCCCAGGAAGCTGAAGCAAGGTCGACAAGTTACTAAAGTAGATGACCGCATCTTTCATGAAATCCAGGGTGTTTCTATTGTGTCGCAGGAACATTTCCGTGGTGCCAAGATATCGAATCACTGTGCTCAGTAACTTGACAACCTCGGGTTGACCCAGTGGGATGAAGTTGGCTTCGTAGAACGAAAAATTGCGTAACAGGGTGGTGATACAAATCAGGCGATCCGCGGCTCTTTCAAGATCATAGGCGACCGTTCCAAACTCGGGGGCATCTTGCAACGACTCGTTCTCGATGCGACATGCCCGGACGAGATCTTCGTATGAGGTGAGGAACATTTCGTCCGAGACTTCGGTGGCGTGTTCGCTGAGGAAGGCGACCTGGTCCTGAGCACAGTCCAGTAGTGTGTCAACGAGATCATCGCATTCACTCAATGCCAGTGGCAACGCAGATTCCATTGAAAGGGTAACAAGCGTGTCCAGTGCTACCCGGGTTTCTGCGTGCATTCCTGACTTGATAGCCATCGTCAAAGCATGGATGTCAATTACACCCAGCTCTCGGATAGAGGGCACAAAGGGTTTGGATTCCGCAATGTGTTGGCCGATGATGAACATTTCTTCCACGTTGACTGGTCCATGGAATCTGCTGGGAGGGAGAACATCAGGCTTGAAAGGATCTTCAATCGGCTTTGATAAAGGCTTGCTCGTGTCCGGTTCGGGTTCTGGGATCTTTCCCCCACTCGTCTGAGGTCGCTTCTGGGGCGTTTGACCCTGTACCTGGCTCTGTATTGCAGCAATCTGTTGAGGATCGAACTGTCGTGATGCGCTCGATCGGTGTTGAACAGCCGAAGTAAGATCTTGTGGCCCTTGAGCGTGTGGAGGTTGCATAAATCCATTTGCGGTAGGGTGCTGCGGCGGTTGGGCGACTGGTGTGTTGGCAGACGCACTTCTCTGGTGGCTAGGGTCTTGAGGTTGATCGCGCGGAGGTGACATTTGAGTTGGGGGTTGTATCGCCGCTTGGGCTGCCATCTTTTGCTTCTGCTGCGACAGCTGCCATGCAGCTTCATACGGGGCTAGATTGGTCATCCAGTACGCCTGGAGCTCTTGAGCTGCTTGCATCTGTTGTGGCGGGGGGAAGCCAAACTGGTGCGCAACCGCAGCCCACTGGTTTAGTTTCGAAATCCTTTGTGAGCCTCCGTTTTTCACCACAGCTGCGTATAGCCGCAACAAGGGCAGTTGCCGACCGCATATCACCGGATTCAGATCAACCTGGCGGTTACGTGCGGCCATGAATTGTTGCAGACCCCTTATGAAATCTTCAGGATTGTTTGGCCTGGCAGGGTGAAATGCTGCTGACGCTCCTTGCGGTAACTGTGGGTTGGTACCCGGTTGGTTAGGATTGGCTGGCGTGCCGTTCATGCCACGGCCTTGAGCTTGTACTTGGGCCTGCATTTGACGCGCTTGGGCCTGGAGATGCATTTGATAGTTTCTCTGAGCTGCAGCCATAGTTGGGTGTTGCGCCGCCATGTTCATTTGTGGGTTCATCCCGACCTGTGACATTCCGTTGTTCATATTCTGACCGAACTGAGGTTGATTGAACCCTGGCGCAAAAACGCCATTTGGCATGAAGTTTTGAGGATTGTCATGGGGCGTGCCAACGCGACTCGCATGGTCTGAAGGAGCGGGAGAAGCGTGAGGGGGACCATGTTGAGGAGAAAACGGACTAGGAGACGTCGTCGCGACGCGTTGGTTGCCCTGGGTTGAGGCGAAATGGCTTAGCTGTTGTATGGTGGGAGATGGAGATGCATTAGATGCAGCTTGGAGATGCCCAAACGGTGTGGGAGCATTTGAAATGGCCGGTACACCGTTGGCTTGAGGATTGAACCCGGTAAAGGGGACTTGTCCTGGAGTTTGTGATCGCGAACCAGGCAAGCCACCAGGCGCCTGGCGCGGTGAAGTGACCAAGCTGTCTTCTCTTGCTCTTTTGGAAGGTATCACCGGGTTTGTCTGGTAGATGGGGTTGTGAAATGCAGGTGAGGTGGTTCGGGCAGCGCCATTGAGGAACGCGGGATTCTGAAATTGGGCGGGATTTATCGTCTGAGGAGGTTGCAGGAAAGACATGCCAGCATCCATTGGGCCTCCAAAGCCAACATGATTGTTTGGATTCGAGGAGGTATCGGTCAGCCAAGGGTTCATGGCTCGAATGAGGTTCGGTCATCCATTGGCTATAGCAACGAGAGTCATCAGCCTTGGTCCAACAGTGCGCGCGGCCATCGTGCAGGTGGACACATCCGATTCAGAATCAATGTCGCTCATCAAGGCCGGATATCTCGTGATGGGCAGGGCCGGCGATGGTTGCGCGTTGACGCAAGAACGTGGATGGTGTCGATGGGGGCAGGAGAGGTGAATGAGACGCGTCACAGGGGGATGCGAAGATCAATATCGGGCCGTCATGGGTAAAGTGATACGAGCCAAGTGAAGGGGCAACAGGCAAGCTTAGAAGACATCGGATAGGGCTACTTACCTGACTGGCAATGTTTGAGTGGAATCGTCACAGGCGTAAAGGTATGCGAACCGATCGGAAAGTCGAGATTGGGACGATTTTCCTGAGGGCTGGGGGACGGCCGAAAAGGGTTTAGCCCCGGCGGCGTGTGACAACTGAGAAACTGGGAACTGCTGAGAGAAGAAGGTTAGCCACGCTTTGGGGGGTAGGTCAGAGTGACTGGCAATGAGGATCATGGAGAGGGTCCCACTCAGGTCTATTGGGCCGTGCGACACGATCTCAGGTGCATGTTTGATGGAAGGTAACAGGCGCTAGTGATGGATCTGTGGGCGGATGGCTTTGGGGAAAGGGAAGGAAGGCGAGAGGATGGATGATGTGGTGGGCGAGCCATGTGCTGGTGTTCAATTCCGGCTGCTGCGAACCGGCCGGCAGAGGGAAGAACAAGACAAGCCCACTATGTTTTTGCGAAGTGCAAGGGGGAGTCGGCAGAGGGGCAGGCAAAAAAGGTTTCATGGGGGATCATAAGAAAAGGGACGAGAGGCTTACCTTGTGGATGTGATTAGATGGATGGGTAGCGATTTGGATTTCCTTTCCCAAGGGTTGATGATACGTGGTGGTTTCGTACACTGCAGGGAACAGAAAAGAGAACAATCACCACGAAACAAGGCGGGGTGGGAGACGATCGGCCAAAGGGATGACAAGCGATGGCCAGAGGACTGAGCTGACAACTGGGTTGAAAGGGAATGGTAATTGATGAAACACAAAACACCAAATGCCTGGAACCGGGGATAAACTGGTCAACAGGACAGGCACCGTAAAGGTTGGAATCGGGGGCAGGTCGAAAAAAAATGGGAGCCTAAAGAAAGCGCTTGGGAAGGGGGACAGGACACACAACCCAGAATGGAGAGAGGCAGACCAGAGGCAACTTAGAGGCG